CCGCTATGAAGTGTGCACTCTTGGTGAAACGATCCACGACTACCCAAATCATGTCGTGTCCGTTCTTCGTTCTGGGCAGTTTAGTCACAAAATCCATGGTGATGTCTTCCCATTTACCCATGGGTACAGGTAAAGGTTCTAAACTCCCATACGGTTTTTGATGTTGTGCCTTAACCCTCGCACATGTTACGCACTCGGCCACATACTTCGCAACATCGAACTTCATCGTCGGCCACCAGTAGTAGGGTTTTAGGTCCCTATACATTTTAGTGCTATCGGGATGAATTGAGTACATGGTCTTATGTGCTTCTTCCATCAGAAGATCTCTTATTCCTCCCGTCTTAGGTACCCAAATTCGATCTTGGAATACCTTCAGTCCTCGACTGTTTGTACCGAACACTAACATTCTTCCCAAACGTTCTTCCTTTCGGTCATTCTTCTCTAAGGCTTCTTCTTGAGCTTTCCTGATACTTTCCACAATCGTCGAGACGACTTCAATTCTTAATGCTCTTGGCCTTTTCCTTTCAAGATTGACTTTCCGAATGAGAGCATCAGCAACAATATTTGCTTTACCTGGGAGGTAAAGTATCTCACAGTCGTAGTCCTTGAGAAGTTCTAGCCAGCGTCGTTGCCTCATGTTCAACTCCTTCTGATTAAAGAGATACTGGAGACTCTTATGATCAGTGAAGAGCTTGCACTTCGTGCCGTAGAGGTAATGCCTCCATATTTTTAAGGCAAATACTACCGCTACACACCTCCATATCATGAGTGGGGTAGTTCTTTTCATGCTCTTTCAATTGTTGAGATGCATATGCTATCACCTTTTCTCTTTGGGTCAGAACACAACCCAAACCGACTCCAGATGCATCACTATAAACCATGAAATCTTCGACTCCATCGGATAGAGAAAGTATCGGTGCTTCACATAACTTCTTCTTTAGTTTCTCGAATTCCTCATCGTGCTTCTCACTCCACGTATACGTAGCTCCTTTATGAGTGAAAGATGTTAATGGAGCAGCTATCGAAGAAAGGCCTTGGATAAACCATCGATAATATCCGGCTAATCCTAGAAAGCTTTGAATCTCCGTAGGACTCTTTGGACGTTCCCACTTCATTACAGCTTCGATTTTTGCTGGGTCAACCATTATTCCCTCCAAGTTAACCACATGACCCAAGAATTGGACTTCTCGGATCCAAAAATCACATTTGAAGAACTTAGCATAAAGCTTCTCCTTCCTTAACACTTCCAACACTTCCCATAGATGCTTTCCATGCTCCTCTTGGCTTTTCGAGTAGATCAGAATGTCTTCGATGAACACTATCACAGATTTATCAAGGAATGGTTTACAAACCCTGTTCATCAAATCCATGAATGTTGCAGGAGCATTGGTTAGTCCAAACGACATAACCAAGAACTTGTAGTGTCCATATCGAGTTCTGAAGGCAGTCTTCTCAATATCCTGTTCCCTCACCTTCAGCTGATGATATCCCGACCTAAGATCGATCTTTGAGAAGTAGCTCGAACCTTGCAGCTGATCGAATAGGTCGTCAATCCTCGGTAATGGATACTTGTTCTTCACCGTTGTCTTGTTCATCTCTCGGTAGTCTATACACATTCTCATGCTTCTGTCCTTCTTCTTTACGAATAACACCAGAGCTCCCCAGGGTGATGAACTAGGTCGAATGAAACCGTTGTCCAACAGCTCCTGAAGTTGCGTCATGAGCTCCTTCATCTCCATCGGTGCTAATCGGTAAGGTTCCTTTGCTATCGGTGTTGTTCCTGGTAACAAGTCTATACGAAACTCCACTTGCATATCAGGTGGTAATCCGGGAAGATCTTTGAGAAAGACTTCCGGATAATCACACACAACCGGTATATTTTGCACCGCTTTCTTCTCCTTCTTAGCATCGATTACGAATGCCAAGTATGATGCACATCCTTTGGACAAACATTTCTTGGCTTTCATCAGGGATATGATTCTAGAATTCACTCTACGTTTGTCCCCGTACACCATAAATGATTCCTTTCCGGGTGGGTTTACCCTTACTATCTTCTTTCGGCATTGAATCTCAGCATCGTTGGCGCTAAGCCAATCCATACCCAAAACGATGTCGAAACCGTTTAACTCTATGTGTAATAGCTCCTCATGGAATTCGTTTCCGTTTAGGTCAATGACGATGTTCATAATATAATTACTAACAGGTACGAATTTGCCACTGGCAACTTCTACAATTAGGGCGTTATCAAGTTTTTCTATAGGTAATGCTAATTTCCCACTAAATTTATGCGACACAAAGGATTAGTTCGCTCCGGAATCAAATAGTATATTTGCAGGCAAACCATTTAAAAGAAAGGTACCTGAAGTGACGTCTGCTGCCTCCTTTGCAGCCTCGAGTGTCATTTGGAAGGCTCTCGCCTTCGGCTTCGGTGGTATGTTGGGTCTTCCTGCCTCCTTCTTTTTCGGGCAATCCTTTGAAATGTTCCCTTCCTCATTGCACTCATAACAGACCTTCTTAGTGAATGTGCATTCATTGGTGTAGTGCCCAGGATTTCCACATTTGAAACAAGTGACCCCTCCGTTACACTTCCCAGAGTGCTTTTTCTTGCACTTGTCACACCACTTCGCTTCTGATCCTCCTCCTCTCGAACCAGACTTCGAGAATCTACCTTTCTTACCGGACCTTGAGGATCCGCCAAATTTCCTTTTCTCTCCCACTTCAGCTCTCTCCAAACCCTTTTCTCGTATCTGGGTCTCCACATTCTTAGCAGCCCAGATGGCGGCTTTCAGTGTGGTAGTTTGCTTGACCATTGGACTGATGTCTGCTGGTAATCCGAGGGAAAATTTGTTAACCTTGGAGAGTTCAGTTGGGATGAGGTGAGGAACAAGCTTCATTTTCACAAAAAAGCTTGCAACGTATTCAGTAACGCTCATTCTTCCCTTCTTCAGATTCTGGAACTCGTTGTTGATTTCCAGAAGATCCTGCTCAGAGCAGTATTGCCTCTTCAACTGTACCAAAAAATCCTCCCACGACATCTTGCTTGCTTCACCCTTGGGCATCGAATCAGCTAATAGCTTCCACCAGCTTAGTACTCCAGATTTCAACAGAGGAACTACGAGAGCGGTCTTCTGCCTATTGCTACACTCGCAACTCTCAAACATCGTTTCCATCTTACAGATCCAGTTCATGACTTCCACCGGGGTCGGGCTTCCAGGTAGACTCGGTGGCTTGGATGCCATGAAATCCTTGTATTTGCCTCCACGTCCATCATTTCCTCCATCCTGGTGGTTTTGCCTAACTATCGGTGGGTTGGCTTGACCAACAATCCCACTGTAGTTTCCCTCCTCAGTCTGCCCTTCATTCAACTCGGGCTGTTCGATCTGTATAGTCGCTTCCTCTTGATTTTGCTGGAGCAAACGCCTGGTTTCCTCCATTTGACGATCCAACATTGCTTAGATCATCGCTTGCACTCCGGCCATCGTTATTGGCCCAGCAGTGGCTTCCACAACTGGTATTTGCTCGATCACTGGGGGTTGGTTTCTGTTCCCATTTGCGTTCACGTTTCCGCTACGGGTCCTTGCCATATACACCAAATAAGGTGAATTTAGATCTTTATTTACACTGCTAGAAAAAAGGCCTTTTAAGACGCTCATTGCGCGTTGTAAAATGCTCAGACGACGCGCAAATGCGCGTCAAGGAAGGCCCTGTCATAAAGAGAGATGACGCGCTTTTGCGCGTCGTCTATAGACGACGCGCATTTACGACGCGCATTTATGACGCGCATTTACGATGCGCGGTTATGACACGCAATGCGTATCAAGAAAGGCCCTGTCATAAAGGAAGATGACACGCATTTGCGTGTCGTAACCTTACGACGCGCGTGTTTATGACACGCAATGCGTATGAAGGAAGCACCAGTCAAGAAAGGCCATGTCATAAATGAAGACAACACACATTTTTGCGTATCGTAATTTTAATTTTTTTTTAAATATATTTATATATTTATTAATTTATAAATTAAATTTGCATTTAATCTCTCATAATAGAAATAAAATACCATATACAAAAAATACAATCCATTGCATAATATAAAATAAAATACCATATACAAAAAATACAATCCATTGCATTCCATTTGTATGTATAACAAAGACACATGTGTTAAACTTGTTACCATTAACATCTAATCGTATGGACTCGAGTGTTAAACTTGTTACCATTAATATCTGATTCATAAGTCCTTTCAAAAAGATTGTTACCTGCATATATGACAACAAATAGGAACATTAACAGCCCAGCATGCTCAAGCCTCATCAATACAACAAAGGAGACAAAAGTAATGTAATAAGCCAAACATTAAAACCAAACATTAGTATAAGAGATGGGAAATCTTTTACTTGAATATAACTAGCACCAAACAAACCACCATTTCCAAGCTGGAATTGAGTCCGATGCAATTGGACTAAAAAAACACAAATGACTCTCAAATTTCACTTACCCCTTTCACTTTCACATAACACCAACCAACCTACTTATAAGTTGCTAATTATCTAGGCTATTTTTCTTTTTCTCTTGATCAAAATAACATGTTTATGCCCAAGTCAATTACAGAATTGTATTTCTTAGTATCATGTGGACACAACATTTTACCGAATGTGAATTGAATATGACAAACAAGCATTTATATTCTCATGAAATCAAAGTTAATTTATAATATTTTTCTAAATAATTAACAAACTTGATGTGTCAAGACCCATAAGGATAATTTCTGCAACATTATATTCTAACAAACCCTACTTTAATCACAACATTAAACCAAAATCGACCAAAAACTCACATAAACAATCAAATCAAATATAAACACAAGCTTGATTTCGTATTCAAACAGATTAAGAAAGGCAGCAAACACTGTTTGTGATTTAGAAACTAATAGCTTAATCCTCAATTCATATTAGCATAGTAACAAATGTGCACTTATATCGTTTTTTTCTTTTGAACATTCACTTTCCAACAGATGCTAAAAAAGCTGATACATTCTTAGTGGGTGCAACCTAAACAAAACTGTCACCATACACAACAGATGCTGAAAAAATTGAATAATTTATCTTTTGCTGCAACTGGATCATACAAAGCTAGACACACTTTTATATGGTTCAAACATAAACTTATTGTGTAATGAGGATCCAAATGGAATAATTCAGCCACCCCATACTCCTTTGTTCTATCTCGCCTCTATAATTTATTTCACCGTTCAAGAGAAGGGTATACGGGGTTTCATAGACATTATGAATTAATTTATCCTTTATTCTACTTCCCTTATTTGAAACAATCTCATCATAAAACGTTCAACATTTTAACATATTATACGACCTAATGCACTAAAATTCAAGTGATGTAAAACAATAAAAGTTGCTTTGAAAGTTCATAAATAAAAAAAAAATTACCTTTTCAAATTCTGCATAAACTTCTGCAGGAGCTATGGTCATCAAAGTTGACAAAGCAAGTACTGCAGCTTCTTGTTCCAAATGACTAGTACTCATCAACCCTATTGGTCCAGGCAAACCCTACATATTATACCACAACCAAGGGTTAATAATAATTAATAATATATAAAAGATAAGATAAAAAGTAATCAATAAAAAAATATCAACACTCGGAATCAATGATTCCACAGGTAAAAAAAACTTACATTGGAATCAGAACGCTGCAAAGGGCTTCTAGAATTAGCTCTACCATGGGAATAGGGTGATGATGTTGATGCTTTCTCATTTCCTCCTCCTTCAGGGCTTCTGCTTCTAGAAGGTGACCTACTCCTACGTGGAGGAGACCTGCTTCTGTGTAATCCATCAGTTTATTGACACATCACATGATAAGGGCATTCTAGTCTTTTCAACACTAGTACTTCTATGTAAGTAACAAACACATATAGAATAGTGAATAGTCCATCAGGTTTCTAATGAAACATCAACTTTAAACAGACAAACAAAACTTTTTACGGATGCTATTTTTAATGATAAGGGCATTTACGTCTTTTTACCTTATAGGAGACCTACTTGGGCTTCTCTCATCATCATAATCATCATCATATCTACCCCTCCTGTTTCTTCTATGATAATCAGGGCTCCTACTCCTACTGCATGAGGGTCCTACTTCTGTAACGATCTTTGTCCCTTCCATAATACCTGTCCCTGCTATTGCTGCGACTTATCCTCCTGTAGCCCTTGTATTCATCTCTATACCTGGAACTACATTGGGTAAACATCAACTCCAATACAAGGGTAGAATGGTCAAAACTACATTCTCATCATACCTTGGTCTAGGACTTCGGCTCCTTAATCCACCCTTCAGCTTTTCTACTGGTTCAAGTATCCTTCCCTTATGACTAAAACAAGAATAAAAACAACCACATTAGTCAAACAACCATATACTTTTTCATATCTGATTCTTGGAATTTAGAAATATATTAGATTATATGTGAATGTGACTCACATTTTTTCAGCATTAGGCCCATATTTGGCAAATTAAACCATCATCTCTCTTCCATCAATAACTCTTCCTGAAAGGTGTAGAGCAAAAGTGAAATCATGGTGAAGTGATGATATTGGATAAGTGTTATAGCTATTATATATTATTAAAAGTGATAAAGAAGAATCAGATCTGGAAGTCCAAACACCTAACATGAAATCGAGGGCTTAAGGAAGAAATCAAGCATCGGTGACTTTTCTCCGGATAAAAACAATTTCCCGCCAATTTCACAAATCGGCGTTCCAAAACCAAAATTCCCGATCCCAATCGCGTTTCTGTGCAATCCAATTTGCCAATTTCACGTTTCAGGTATCGATTTAAAGAATTGGTGGGATCGCAAGCATGACGTACCGGAGGGCGTTTCTGTCAGCGATCGGTACGCAATCGTACCCCGTTTGGGATTGAACCGTTTGGAACGTGGATCATGACTACTTTGGCGAATCCTGTGACTATGGATTGAACCATGCACACCATTGATTTCTATTCAACGAATCTCCAACGAACATAAGCCTCTTGTTCTTCGATTTCTCCACCAACAATTTCCCTATAAACCTTCATTTCATTTCCCCCAAAACACACAATTAAAATCATCAAGAATTCAACAATTAATTTGATTTTAAAAAGTGGAAGAACATAGTATGCTTACTTTGGCAAATTACAGTCTTTAGGTTGCCACCTCCACTTCTGATATGAAGTCGTCAGTTGCTTTACAGAGAGATATGAAGTCGAGACGAAAAGACGAGATTGACCCATCTGGTAATAAACGGACTCGAGAAGCTGAACAAAATGACCCGAGATTGACCCATCTAGTAACAACGCTATTGATGCCATTCTTTCCATTTTCGACTGTTCATCCTCCACTTCCTCTACTGCTACTTCTTCACCATCTTCTATTTTTTCTGTATTTAGACTTGAGAGTATAATTAGGGCTTTTTCTAACAATTTCAACATCGAGTGGGAGATATGGTGGTTCCAGTAGGTAGAAGTGAGGGAAGAAGTAGGCAGCAGTCAATGTCGAGAGGGGGAAGGAAGGAGCGTCCATAATTTGGGCAAGAGGGAAAGGAGAAAAAAAAAGGAAGGCGGGATTTTTAATTTTTTCAGAATTTCATTTCCCCCTACTGTTAAAGGATAGAACGCGCGTTCCATTAAAAATTATAAAGCGACATCCTTAGACGACGCGCATTTTATTATAGGTGCCCTCCGTGTTTTTTTAGACACTGATTTAAGGGCGTGCAATAATGCGTGTCTTCTATCCTTAAATTTTTTGAAGAGATGACATTTTTCTAATGTCACTCTCCTTTGCGTAACATAGATCAATGAGCGTCGTATTTTGCGCATCGTAAAAGGCCTTTTTTCTAGTAGTGTTAGGATTGATGTTCAAATCATCCTTATCTCTCCGAAACGTTTACATGCTATATCTAATATCATACTCATACATTTATAATCCTACACACATAAGGTTTACAGATCCGGTCGGCAACAGACCATGGATCCGAACAATTAACAACATATTAGGCACAAAGCATTTAGCACATAAAAGCATTTTAGGCATAATTCCTAAAATAAGCTAGTGCTCACACCTCACAATCATCTCTTAGCATTCTAAGTTTAAGTCTAGAAACCTTACAAATTCCTAGTTTGCTTAAACTAATGCTCTGATACCAACTGTGACATCCCCAAAATCACGGCCACAAAAGACCGGTTTGTTTATGCTTTGTTTAAAAATCAGAGTAACATTTTAAATGAAAGTGTTGTGGAATTTGTACCAAAACAAAATATGATAAAGATTTATCAAAAGCATTTCCATAGAAATGTATTTCATTAAAAGACTTGGGATGTCATGTTCGTACATATCAAAAGCATAAACAGTACAATATAAGCCTTACTACATTATTTCATATCTACAGGACTATATCCGTAATCCCTCGTCCAACATCATATCTATTCTCAAGCGCCACTTCCTGTAATACATAAAACTGAGTGGGTTAGGCTTGGGAGCCTGGTGAGCACATAGGGTTTTCAACCCACAATAAATAAGTTTATTAATTTCATCATTCAACAATAACCCGATTACCCATTCCCGTTATCCTCACTTTACGTCCCTAAACACCTATCATAAGGGACCTAGCCTAAGGATCATCATCGGGACGGACACTACTGCTAAGGGGATTCCTCAGCAATAAATATCCTAAAAGCAACCATGTGGGGGATGGAGTACACCGATGAACACATCGTTCACAAACACCTACAGGTTGCGACCCTGCTAGTGTTCCACTGGACTGTCTAGAAGAGTCTGTGGTCGTCATCTATACTCCGCTAGATGACTGGATCAACAACAACAATATCGAGGCATCTCATCATTTTATCACACATCACCTATTACATCTACCCATGTTGTACCCCAAAATTTTTGTAGATATAAAATTCATATACAGTTTAAATCATTGAAACCATGTATAATAATGTTCATCCAGCATAGATAGCAAGTATTCAGATAATATGCACACATAGCACGTAACTTATATAAAATACTTCATATATATGTGTAAGCTGAAAGTAACTATGCACTCACCTGATTAGGTGGTGACTCAGCACTCGGACAGCGCTTCGATACTCTCAAAACGATATTCCTTCGATAAAACCTAGTATTGATACCACTAGGGTTTAGTTTAACGATAACCACGACAAATTAATTAGTCCGAGTATTATTAAGTGTTGATAATACTCGATATAACTCATAATAATAGATCAAATAATTATTTTAAGGACCTAATAACATTCCTATAATTATTTGAAAGCTATATTAAAAATTGCGTAAGCGTAGCACACTTACAACGAATTTTATCGACAACCGGAACTTAATTGGAGCAGCGTTTCGAAACCGAAAAACTGCTTTTTCTTGGGACTCCGGGAGCCTCGGGGCTTCCCTAGGGTACTAGGGGTTTTATCTAGGGCTTAGGGGTGGTTTTGGGTTGTAGAGAGAGAAAGAACTTAGAGAGAGAAGTGATTTTGGTGTGAAAAATGGAGCTGCCTTCGGACCCCTTTTATAGGCGCGAAGCTCGGACATTATGTTGGGCGTACTCCTCGGATAAGACCTCCAGCTCGGACCCAGCTGTCTTGCACTCATCGGATGGATCAGACCGAAGTTACACGGGGCGTAATAGCGAGGCTTCGTGGCGAGATCTGAGACCATCATCGGACGGTTGTGGTGCTGCCACGTCATCGACTTAACAACAGACTTCGCAATTTCATACTTCAACTTTAAAAATTCGTAACTTTTGCGTACGAGCTCCGTTTTCGATGTTATTTATATCCACGCGAAGGTGGGAACGTACTCTACAACTTTCGTTTAGACTCCGTCGGCTAATTTTGGCTCGATTTTAAATTTTATATTATTAACAGGCCAGGATAGGATTGGTCCGTTAAATCCTCATAACTTCTTCATCCGACATCCGTTTTCGCCCATCTTTTTCTTGTTACGCTACTTTTAACGAGACCTTCGATTCTCGGTTAGGTCGTGTCGGCCAAAAACCGCTCGATCTAATGTTCGAATTTCGGGTTGTACACTGCTAACTCGGAGCTTCGAAAAATCATAACTCTTCATACGAAGTCAGATTTGGGCGTTCTTTTTATCGATGTTCTTAGTTTAACATATTCTACGACTTTCGTTTTGATCGCTAAGGCTAAATCTCACTCTATCGTAAATTCACTATTTACGCTTCTCGGTATCGTGTTGGTTCTGTCGCGAAACTTCGACGGGTCATAACTTCTTCGTTATAACTCGGATTTCGGTGTTCGTTATATCCTCGGAATCCTTGTTTCGACCACTAAAACTTTATGTAGAGATATTTGGCTTATCCCACACTTTAATTTTGACGCTTATTTTTATTCTTTGTTAATTATACATTTATAATTAAATAATAAGCACATAAATACACATAATTCACATAATACTCAAATATTTCATCTTTATTACTTCAAAAAGAGTTACAAGATTTGACCTAGACTATTACATTGACAAATATGCTTAGCCCTGAAACCCGGGCGTTATGAAAGCTATGCCGACGAGTGTCGTTCTGACCTAGAGTTTCAGGTTGGGGATATGGTCCTCCTGAAGGTGTCACCTTGTAAATGTGTCATCCGGTTCAGGAAGCGGGGCAAGTTGGGCCCCAGGTACATCGAATCGTTCATGGTTTTGACTCGGGTGGGTCTGGTTGTGTATCAACTGGATCTGCCAGCTGAACTTAGTCAAATCCACAACACTTTTCATGTTTCCCAGCTACGAAAGTGCTTGGTGGATGACTCCGCAATTGTGCCTTTAGAGGATATTCAGGTAAACGACATCCTGAACTACATCGAGAGACCAGTAGCCATTCTCAATAGGAAAATGAAGGAGTTGAGGAATAAGAGGGTAGAGTTGGTGAAGATGTAGTGCCAGCACCGAAAGGGCTCGGAGTGGACTTGGGAGCCAGAGGAAGAGATGAGGGAACATTACCTAGAGTTATTCGAGGCAACAGACTTCAAGGACGAAGTCTGAGACAAGTGGAGAAGAATTGTAACACTTGCATCCTGGTATGTATTTAAAGTCGTAATTTATTCAATTTCAAAGGGCAACTCGATGAGTTGGTAGCCCTAAACTCATCGCATAAAGATTATTTGAACCTCAGGTTTTAGGAAACCTACTCGACGAGTTGGAAGCCTCAAATCGACGAGTAGATCGGCTGGGATAAAACCCTAATTTCCAGGGTTTGTCACCCTATTTAAAGGACTTAACCCTTTCATCAACCCCTCATCGTTTTACACCCTATTTAAAGGACTGCCATGCTGACCAATGACCCATATGTCATCCATATGTCATCTATGGACACCATAAGCAACTACCATGTTGACTAATGAGCCATATGTTATCCATCAACACCATAAGCCACTACCATGTTGACCAATGACCCATATGTCATCCATGGACACCATAAGCCACTAACATGTTGACCAATGACCCATATGTCATCCATGGACACCAGAAGCCACTACCATTTTGACTAATGACCCATATGTCATCCATCGACACCATAAGCCACTACCATGTGACCAATGACCCATATGTCATCCATGGACACCATAAGCCACTACCATGTGATCCATATGTCATCCATGGACACCATAAGCCACTAACATGTTGACCAATGACCCATATGCCATCCATGGACATCATAAGCCACTACCTTGTTGACCAATGACCCATATGTCATCCATAGACACCATAAACCACTACCATGTTGACCAATGACCCATATGTCATCCGTATGTCAACCATGGACACCATCAGCCACTACAATGTTGACCAATGACCCATATGTCATCCATGGACACACAAGCCACTACCATGTTGACCAATGACCCATATGTCATCCATGGACACCACAAGCCACTACCATGTTGATCAATAACCCATATGTCATCCATGGAGACCATAAGCCACTACCATGTTGACCAATGACCCATATGTCATCCATATACACCATAAGCCACTACCATGTTTACCAATGATTCATATGTCATCCATGGGCACAATAAGTCACTACCATGTTGACTAATGACCCATATGTCATCCATATGTCATCCATGGACACCATAAGCCACTACCTTGTTGACCAATGACCTATATGTCATACATGGACACCATAAGCCACTACCATGTTGACCAATGACCCATATGTCATCCATGGACACCATAAGCCACTACCATCTTGATCAATGACCCATATATCATCAATATGTCATCCATGGACACCATAAGCCACTACCATGTTGACCAATGACCCATATGTCATCCATATGCC